CCATTCATAGGCACTCTCTGAGTTGGTACTCTCACACCAACGAAGGAATTCCATTATTCAGGAATGATTCTATGAACTTATTTTTAGCACGATTTACCAGTTTACATCATTATAGCAATTCTTTGCACTTTTTGGTTTTTACAATGCGTTCATGTATTGATCACATGCATTATAGCGCTGCACTTGTCTTTAACGATAGAATAGTTAATGTGATTAAAGATAAAATTTAAGATAATATGAAACTATATGGGAAATTAGAGAGTAATATAAATAATTTGAGATAAGTGGGTGTGAAAAATGTTGAAAATATAAATGGTATGACATTCATGTAGTAAATGCAATACTTTCCTGAATCCATTTTGGGAAGAAACAGCCAAAAAAAAAATAGCAAAAAGAGAATTTTCAGAATGGTAATAGTACAGCTGTATTAGAATTTTCTAATTCAAGAAAGAACGCCAATGTTTAATAAAGCCACGCGCATGTGCGCCATCTAGCGAATATATCCGTATTGGCGCACCTAATAAATGTGCCAGACGGGAATACCACATTCACTAAATGTCAAACGTCGTCAGTAGGACGCCTCCGTTAGATGAGCTTGCTAGACCAGACGCTGGTCAGCACCACTCGATTTGAGTAGACAGCGGAGTCTGCCCTGAATGGTCAGTCTCTGCTAATCACACTCACATCTCAGTGAATCAAGGCCATGGTGTTACCACACAGAAGTATCTCCAATGTCTCACAATCACATCAGACTTACTCTCACCACCAGTATTGTTTGGTTGCTCCCCAGCCTGTCTCGCTGCCAACATAAACTGGTTCCAGTTTGGAGCATTCTCCCTAAGCAGGCCTGTGGAGTTTTTATAGAGCCTCAGGGCACCTTAAAACCTGCTACAGACATCTGAGCTCATATAAATTATCAGTGAGTCAAACAGGCTCACATACGATCAGCACCAAAAGAGAACAGTCTGTGTAGAGGCAAATGAAACTTAACTGGGAAAAATAAATCTCCCATCCTGGACAACATCCCCTTAGATCCTTACCAGGCTTCTTGGTCCACTATCTAAAGATATACGAATATTAGTACAAACCACACAAACCCACAGAACGCCCCACATACATATTTATAATTACCGTATTTGCCGGCGTATTTAAGACAACTTTTTTGCCCTGAAAAAACATGCCCTCCAAGTGGGGTGGTCTTCTTATACGGCTGGGTGCACTTCAGTTGGGATAGACATAGCTGCCATAGTGGCCTTTCCGATACTCCCGCCCGATGCCCAAAGTGGCCTCCCTACTGCGCGCAGCCACCTCATTCTACATACCAGCCGCGGCGGGTCAATCCAGCGTGGCTGCGGCAGAGCAACAGCAGCTATTACAGGGTGCCAGCCTATTCGGCGTGACGCAGCCCGTTCTGCTCCGGCGGGAAGCAGCCGGCACTCCGGCCCGCCCCTTGTCCTACTCATTAGCTCGGCACATGCGACCTTGCGCACTAGTGCCAATTACAGGGAGATCAGGGACATGGTTAGTGACATGGAGACAGGGAGGGCTGACAGGGAGCAGGACCATATCCAATCAGGGCTTTGTATACAGCCCAAACCACAGTACTGCACCATTGTACAGTACAATACAGCAATAGAAAATGTCCAGCAGGTCAAACCCTATCAACACCCTATCATGGCACAGCAAAAAAGAAAGAGGGGTAGTCCTTATACTGGAGAGTATATAACAAACTCTAATTTTGAGTGGAAATGTTGAGGGTCGTCTTATACGCCAGACCGTCTTATACGCCGGCAAATACGGTATATAATACTGAGAAAAATATATTCTCTTACTTGCCCAGAGTAGGTAAAAGAAGCTAATATGCATCAACTACAAGATTTGAAACCTGTTCGATTGCAACACAGGCACTTTTAGATGTAGTTGTATGGCAGTCAGCTTGAGCTATAGATTCCCTATAAACAACCTTCTTTTTAACATGTGGTAGAGAGTGAAGGAACAAATAATGCTGTAAAGCTCGCACCTGCTGGTTGTAATAAAGAAACAGTATTTACATGTTTCTTCTTGTCATATGTCTGACATTCCATCTACATTACAACCATACTTTTTGTATAATTTTTATTTAATACATTTCCCCCCCCCCAAAGTGCTTCCCATTGTATCAATACTTACTTTATCTCACAATCCAGCAATCTTCACTGTGTGGTCCTGCATGGAGCCACACAGCTTAGCTCCCTAAAATGGGCAGTTTTATGCTGAACATACAAGCTGTGGAAGTACATTCCAAGTCATCAACCTGGAACAAGTGGCAGCCAGGCAATATGCCTTTAGCAGTGGAGGTCAGCCATAGTAGTCACCATGTGAAAAACTTCTGTATGTCTGTATATTAAAAAAAAAGATTACAAAATATTATTCATTTTTTCAAATAAAACTTGGAAAATCTGAATACGAATGCTATAAATAACTAGATGAAGTAATATTTGTGATCTCCACCCATAACGTAAGAAATTATGACATCCTGCTTGCTTTAGAGCTGTTACAAATTAAACAGACCGTATATGTTCCCACTCCAATGATTTTGAAAGGAGATAGGTGGAGATCTGTTATGTCTCTGGGGTCTGGGGATCCATCTGGTCTGCTCTGCTTACACTCTGTTACTGCCTTAGATGAGCCACTCAGAACATGTCCAATTGGCTGTTACAGCTACAGTATATACCACTGTCCCCCTTGATTTCATAGTTCTGATTTGGTGAAAAAATGCTTCTCTAAACTTGTCTTCTCAAATGCAATAAGTACCCACAACTCACCTCATCTGAAAGAGTGTACACTGTGAGAGGAGCAATATATTTGTGACAAGCTATTTAAAGCCACCAGGAACATAGTACACAATAACTATATAGGTTATTGTGGTTTTTTTTTTATCTTAATCTCTATCTGACCTCCAGGCAAACCTCAGAGTTTCATTTTTGGTGGAACTATTTAAATTGCACATGATCATTAAGCAATGATGATATCACTTAAATAAGCTTTACCTTTAGCTCTTGTGATTTCCTATCAATGACAGCGACCTCACTTTACAAAGCACATATGTTCAGGTCCATGCAGCTGCATAGTGCTTACCCCTAAGAGTGCAGTAACATTAATCCAGAGTTCCAGGAATGGCGAGCTGACCTCACCGGCAGCTCCTGGGATCCATTATCCTGGAATTCTTTACTGTCTTAGTAACAGTAAAATAATACAAGGGACTGCCTCTTGGGGAAATTGGCAAGAACGCAATAAAAACAAAACTTTTACAGTGAGGAGTATACCAAAGTAAAAAAAAAAAAAAATCATTCAACAGTTTTCTGGTGTAACCCTTTCTCTGCATCACTGAATATATATATATACTGCGGACTTTGATAGCAAAGGACTGTGAGTGATAACTGAACAATGTGTGCAGCTGAACAGATTTAAAGTTACTACAACAAAATCCACTGTAAAAGAACAGTTGTACATTTAGGTATGACTATTCTTAAATTGGCTTTACCTGGTGACCTCTTAATTGACTTTTTGGTCTTTCAAGTCATCCATCACCCATCACTAGACCACCTAGACATTCATAACATGAAGATTTCTAAAATTTATCATATACGTAAAAATATTCTGTCAAGTCCCTATACAGATGAAAAGGCCAGTCGCCTGCCCCCCCCAAATTCTTGTTCAACTTTCAACACTCCCAGGAATGTCTGTGTCCCCCTACTTCGCTCTGTGGCTCTACCACTTACTCAAATGGTTGGTGGATTAAACCATGGCATGCAGTAGGGGCCACAGGTACCCAACTCTCCCAAAGGTGTCAAATGCACAAAAAACTGATGGAGGCTGCAGCACTGGAAGGGAGGGAAGGAGACAAAGGCAGCTGGAGTGGTCAGTATAAGATCTTCCCTCGCAGAAAGCTGGACTTTTGATATGTTTAGAGTGTGAAAGGGTTTGAACCTCTGGCAACTTTTTATTGCTGCCTGTGTACGTGTCTATGACATGTCTCCTGTCTATTTGATGGATACATGCAACAGTAACTGAGATAAATCTCCTTAATGGGGACCCAGACAGAAATGGGGTGGAGAGGATTGGAACCTTTGACATGTCTTTATTACTACCTTTTAGGGTGATATCTCCTCTGTTTAAGTGATACAGAGGATATAAAAAGTCTACACACCCCTGTTAAAATGTCAGGTTTCTGTGATGTAAAAAAAATAAGACAAAGATAAATAATTTCAGAACTTTTTCCACCTTTAACCACCTTCCGCCCGCCATATATAGTACAATGACAGGCGCAAGGTGGTTCTCTTGTTCTGATAGGACGTCATATGATGTCCTACCATTCTCACTGCGCATGCGCAGCTCAGGGAGCTTGCAGCTCGGCGATCGCTAGTCCGCTGTGTCCCTTGGACACAGCGGATCACGGAAAGAGACGAAGATGTCGGCTCGGTCATGTGATCAGCTGTGTCCAATCACATGTAAACACGGAAATGCCGGTTATCGGCCTTTCTCTCCTCTCTCGAGCTGTCACGCTGACAGCTCGAGAGGAGAGAGAGAGCCGGTAATCCGCTTTCTGCGGAGGGGACATGTACACTGATCATCAGGGCACTGATGATCAGTGTACCCTGATGATCAGTGTGGCCCCAGAAATGCCACCTGTCAGTGCTCATCAGTGCCACGTGCCAGTGCCCATCAGTGCCACATCAATGCCACATATCAGTGCATACCAGTGCACATCAATGCCACATATCAGTGCCCATCTGAGCTGCCTTTCAATGTCACCCATCAGTGCCAGTCAGTTCCACCTATCAGTGCTGCCAATCAGTGCCACCTATCAGTGCCAGTCAGTGTCGCCTATTAGTGCCAGTCAGTGCCGCCTAACAATGCCAGTCAGTGCTGCCTAACAGTGCCAGTCAGTGCCGCCTATCAGTGCCAGTCAGTGCTGCCTATCAGTGCCATATATCAGTGTCATGTATCAGTGTCATGTATCAGTGCTGCCTTTCAGTGCCCATCAGTGATGCCTGTCAATGCCCATCAGTGCAACCTACCAGTGCCTCCTCATCAGTGCCCATCAGTGCCACCTATCAGTGTCCATCAGTGCAGCCTATCAGTGCCCATCACTGCAGCCTCATAAGCGCACATCAGTGAAGGAGAAAAATCACTTATTTACAAAATTGTATAACAAAAACTAAGAAAAAACTTTTTTTTTTCAAGATTTTCAGTGGTTTTTGGTTTGTTTAAGAAAAAAATAAAAATCCCAGAGGTGATTAAATACAAAAGAAAGCTCTATCTGTCTCAAAAAGTAACAATTTCATATGGGTACAATGTTGCATGACCGCGCAATTGTCATTCAAAGTGTGACAGCGCTGAAAGCTGGAAATTGGCATGGGCATGAAGGGGGTATAAGTGCCCGGTAGGCTAGTCGTTATTATGGCAGTAACCTATAAACTGTACAACTCAGTTGAACAACAAACTGAAATCTTTTAGGTGGAGGGAAGTAAAATAAAAAACTAAAATAATATGGTTGCATAAGTGTGCACACCCTTAAACTAATACTTGAAGCACCTTTTGATTTTATTACAGCACTCAGTCTTTTTGGGTATAAGTCTATCAGCATTGCACATCTTGACTTGGCAATATTTGCCCTACTCTTCCTTGCAAAAACGCTCCAAATCTGTCAGATTGCGAGGGCATCTCCTGTGCACAGCCCTCTTCAGATCACCCCACAGATTTTTGATTGGATTCAGGTCTGGGCTCTGGGTGGGCCATTCCAAAACTTTAATCTTCTTCTGGTGAAGCCATTCCTTTGTGGATTTGGATGTATGCTTTGGATCGTTGTCATGCTGAAAGACTTTCTAGCAGAAACCTGAAGGTTTTGTGCCAGTATTGACTGGTATTTGGAACTTTCATAATTCCCTCTACCTTGACTAAGGCCCCAGTTCCAGCTGAAGAAAAACAGTCTTAACCCCTTGCCTACCGGGCACTTATGCCCCCTTCTTTACCAGGCCAATTTTCAGCTTTCAGCGCTGTCGCACTTTGATTGACAATTGCTTGGTTATGCAAGATTGTATCCATATGAAATTTTTTATCATTTTTTTATCATAAATAGAGCTTTCTTTTGCTGGTATTTACTCGCCGCTGGGTGTTTTACTTTTTGCGCTATAAACAAAAAAAAGTGCAAACATTTTGAAAAAAAAAGTTTCTTTGTTTCTATTATAAAATTTTGCAAACAGGTAATTTTTCTCCTTCACTGATGTGCGTTGATGAGGGCAGCACTGATGGGCACTGATAGGCAGCACACTAATGAGGTGGCACGGATAGGCGGCACTGATAGGCAGCACTAATGAGGTGGCACGGATAGGCGGCACTGATAGGAGGCACTGATCGGCGGCACTGATGATGGGTACTGATAGACGGCACTTATAGGTGGCACTGACTGGCATCACTGCTGGGAGCTGACTGGCGGCACTGTTAGGCATTGACTGGAGCAAAAGCTGGGCACTGACTGGCACAACCGCTGGGCACTGACTGGTGGCACTGACTGGCAGCACTGCTGGGCTGCATTGATGGGCACTGATGGGTGGCACTGGTGGGCACAGGTAGGTGGCACTTCTGGGTAGCACTGGTGGGCACTGCTGGGCACAGGTGTGTAGCACTGCTGGGTGGCACTGGTGGGCACAGGTGGGTGCACTGCTGGGTGGCACTGGTGGGCACAGGTGGGTACACTGCTGGGCACAAGTGGGTGGAACTGGTGGGTGGCACTGCTGGGCACCGATCATCAGGGCACTGATCATCAGTGCTCTGATGATCGGTGCCGATCCCTGCTCTAACAACTGCCGGTTCTCGGCAGTACTTTCCTCACGATCTGACAGTGTGAGGAAAGTGCAGCCGAGAACCAGCAATTGCATTTCCCTGTGACCAACGTGTCATTGGACAAGGCTAATCATGTGGTAAAAGGCCGCTGTGATTGGCCTTTTACCACATCATGTGATCAGCTGTGTCTGTGGGACACAGCGATCACGGAGATCGCCGGGTGTGCGCCCCTGAGAGCGCGTTCTGGGAGGACGTCATATGACGCCCTTCCAGAACTGGCCGGCCGCAGTGTAGCCATCATTCGGCTATCTGCAGTCGGCAACTGGTTAAAGCATGATGCTGCCACCACCATGCTTCACTGTGGGTATGGTGTTCTTTTAGTGATGTGCAATGTTGTTTTTGCACCAAACATATCTTTTGGAATTAATGATTTCAGAATTCATAGATGTCCAGATGCTGTAGCCCCCCCGCTGGTGGCGATTCTGAAATCATTGCGGTCAGTACTGTTTTTATGCAGTATCACACTATGTGATGTCCCTTATTGGGCTCTTTATGAGCGCCACCCTTTCGCAGTACCAAGTTTAAGGAGTGACCCCAGAGGTGCATGAGTGTCTGAGGAACCAGGGAACCTGGCCATGATGGATGACTAGTGAGGACCAGAGAGTGCAGCTTGACCTGAGTGCGGAGGACCTAGATGTACCTGATGAGAGAGGAAACTTCTTTCATGCGTATTTTAAACGCACTTCTGGTGAGTGCGCATTTAATTTATTTCCTGTTCACCTTTGGATCACTTATCCTTATTGGCAAAGGAGACCCGACAGAATTTGCACATCACATCCTTTTGTGTTTTTGGACATTAGATTGAACATCGGATTTATCTTAGATGAAAAATATGACCTAATATCATTATTTGTATACTCTTAAAGATTGAGTGTATGTGAATATTTCACTATTTTTATTAATAGCGCTGCACCTTTATTATCTATATATTGTCTTGGAAGGTTATGATGGTTACCTTTTTGGTGTTCTAGCGGCTTGTACCAAATTTTCATTACAGTAAGCGCTCGCTATACAACTTATATCTACATTTTCCCACATGCTTTTGGGAGACTTCAGATGTCTTTTTGCAAAATTTTTAAAAGGCTTCTGTCTTGCCATTCTACCCCATAGCCCAGACATATGAAAAAACACAGGAGATTGTTTTCACATGTACCACACAGCCAGTACTTGCCAGATATTCCTGCACCTCCGTTAATGTTTCTGTAGGCCTCTTGGCAGCCTCCCAGACCAGTTTTCTTCTTGTCTTTTCATCAATTTTGGAGGGACGTCCAGTTCTTGGTAATGTCACTGTTGCGCCATATCTTCTCCACTTGATGATGACTGTCTTCACTGTTCGCCCTGGTATATCTAATGCCTTGGAAATTCTTGTATACCCTACTCCTGACTGATACTTTTTTTCAATGAGATCCCTCTGATGCTTTGGAAGCTCTCTGTAGACCATGGCTTTTGCTGTAGGATGCGACTAAGAAAATGTCAGGAAAGACCTACTAGTACAGCTGAACCTTATTTGGGGTTAATCAGTGGCACTTTAAAAGATGGCAGGTGTGTACTGACTCCTATTTAACACGATTTGTAATGTGATTGCTTAATTCTAAACACAGCTACATCCTCAGTTATAAGAGGGCATGCACACTTATGCAACCCCATTATTTTAGTTTTTTATGTTTACTCCCCCCTAAAAGATTTCAGTTTGTTTTTCAATTGAGTTGTACAGTTTATAGATCACAGGTGGAAAACGTTCTCAAATGATTTATCTTTGTCTTATTTTTTTACATCACAGAAATCTGACATTTTAACCGGGGTGTGTAGACATTTTATATTCACTGTAGGTGTCAGACTAAGTAGGAAGTGCAATATAAATCTCCTTAATTTGGATACAGTCAAGATTTAATACCAACCAATAGGGATAAGCGTCTGGGCTTTCAGGACAAATCCAGCCTGCTCCTATTTTTTACCATTTTCTTCACTCAAAAAAAAAAAAAAGGGAAACAATGTTGGGAGGTGTCCCTTAATTTCCTGACCAGACCTTAATTTAGGCATGCAGCTTTGCTGGAATCAAAAGGGAGGGTGGCTGTCCAATACAGGCCACATGCCTTTCAACATTGATGGGGTACATTGAGAGGGGGTGGCAAAGCTTTTCCCCTTGTGAGGCACTTTATCCAAATGTTGAGGGACAAGGGCATCTACCCTACATCTGAGCCCCAAGAGGTTGTGGGGGGTTTGTGGGAGGGAAAAGTTTAGGAATCTGGAAGCCCTTGTATAATAAGGGGCCCCCAGATATCCACCCCCCAGGAAAATGAGTAGAGGGGTACATTAGTACCTCTCATTACTTAATCACAAAAAAATTAAACTGTAAATAAAAAACAGTCATTGTGAGAAAATTCTTTAACAGCTTTCCGCCTGTTGGCAGTACATGTACAACGGGCAGCAACACAGCCAGGCTAGGCAACGTCGCCGCCTGGATTCTGGGTTTCAGGCATGTGTGAGCATGCCCACTGCTGAACCGTGCTGTGATTGGACACAGAACGAATTTGTAAGCAGGTTTTAGCCAATGATTTTGTCTGAAACCTGCTGATTGGCTGTGTCCAATCACAGCATAGAGTTCTGTGTTTGCACTGAGTTTTGTGTGTTTGTAAACAGAAGAGTGATCTGGCTGTTTCTTCTTCCTGAAAAGCAGGTAGAAAAAACCAGCCAGATCTGTGAGTAAAAGCAGCACACATTACGCATATAACACTTATTAGGCACACAGTTGATTGTCCCTAATTGTTAAAGTGGAGTTCCAGTTGAATAAAAAAAAATAAAAGTCGGAAGCTACAAAAACTGTACCTGCTGACTTTTAAAATACAGACACTTACCTGTACCTCGGTCTAGCGGGTGTCCTTACCACTGCTGGTTTTACCGGCCGTCTTCTCTCCCCGACGCTGGCATCTTTAGTGTGGGCACCCGGCTGTGACGGCTTGTGGCTTCACAGTTGGTTGCCCACTGTGTATGCGCAAGTAGCGCTGCA